AGTGAGAGATTGTTGGGTGTATGAACAAATTCCCAAGTGGAAATTAGAAAAGAAAAAAGATTCTACTTATAATGAGTTGGATATTTTTAATGTGAGGCTTTTTGGAAAAAATCGTGCAGACTTGGTCCAAAGCGGATAATATCACATCACGTTAAGAGTATTTTTGGGATGTTTTAACCTAACAGTTTGTGATTTGATGAGAGAATATAGTTCAAACATTTCCAAGGACTTTCCAGTAAGCAAAGTTGAATCCAAGCTCAGTCAAGCTCCTTTTGGGAAAGTAGTGGCAGCCCAATGCTGCATTGTTTTCATAGTATATTACAGTTTTGGAAAACCAATTACCGCTTGCAAATATCATATAGTAGTCAAAATTCATAAACGGATAAGTCCAACTTGTATCAAGTTTGTCAAGATGAAGTCAATCTCAGATGTGGAAGCTCCATTGTAGTCTTCAAATATAGTTGCTTGTGCCATAAAAGGGGACCAAATAACTGAAATGGTAAAGTAGTATGAGGGGAAGGCAAAATGGCCTCGTGGCCACTTAAACTTGCACCCGTTTTTTAGGGACGGGACAATGTAGTAGCTCTAATGGTGTTACCGATGTCTGATTTACCTTATTATGTGCATGGCTTGATCGGTGTCGTGCTATATGATGCACAATTTCCCGGTAAATAATATTAGATTTATTGTTACTTATGGTATTAGAATAATATGAAAGGTATTCATGATTTCCACGGGCGAGGAAATTCCTTATGCGAGGTTCTATATAAGATGAGAAAAAAGTGTTCAAAATATTTAACTATGATTTAAGACACTAGAATAGAGATTCTGACTCTTGGGATAGTTATAGTTGTTATTAATTTTCCAAATGAGTTACAAAAGGCATATGTAGTGTAATGCAAAGATAAGATGAGTGTAACGATAAAAAATTCATACCTCTCTTTTCTAGGGTATAGCTCGCTTAACATTCGAGGACGAATGTTCTTCTTAGTGGGGGAGAATGTAATAATCTGAATTATTTTTATATACTTATTAGTTGTGAGACTAGAGAGATTAATGTTTTTTTCTTATAACTATTGGGTCAAATATTAAGCCAGTGGAAAAAAAATTATTATAGTATATGTGTATTAGATAAGTGTCTAGGGGACTAAATACACATGACAAATTGAGAATTAGAAATAAATAACTTTATGTATTATTTAAAATGATAATAAATGGGCTAAGCCCACCTATATATGTTTATATCATGTGAGAGTGTTGGGAGTTATATACATGCTAGGGCTTATATTTGATAAGGAAAAAAAAAAAATCAATGAAAGAAGACTTCTTGGAATTGGCGGTTGCGTGAAGGAATTGGTGAAATAGCCTCAGGTAACATTGAAAATATATTGTATTATACTTTTGTGGAAGAAGAATGATGGTTGCATTAATAACTAGAGACGTTGTAATGAATAAAAAGTAACATTATGATATTACAATATTATACAATGATTGATTAGTTAAGGGTTTACTTAGAAATAGAGGAAATTTCAAGAATAAGATAATCTGATACAATTATATATTATTTTGTATAAAGCTAAAATTATTTAATAAGTGGTTTGTGGTGTAGTGTGATGTGGCGTAGCCTCGTGTTATGGCGCGTTAGAAATTATTTCTTCGTTACCGTGATAGATTTGGGGCATTGTGTATGCCGAGGTGATAGATTTGGGGGCATTGTGTATGCCGCCATGATATATTTGAGGTATTGTGTATGCCATCGTGATAGATTTGGGGCATTGTGTATGACGTCGTGATAGATTTGGAGCATTGTGTATGACGTTGTGATATTTTTTGGGGCATTGTGTATGCCGTCGTGATAGATTTGGGGCATTGTGTATGCTGTCGTAGATTCGTTGGGGGTATTTGGTTAATTTCCTGCACTGCCGTTAATGACAAGTCCTTAGTGCAGATTGTGTTGAGATATATATAGTATTGTTGTTGAATAATTGTTTGGACCTTATAAAGTAATTATATAGTAAAGAATTTATGTGTATATTATTTCTTTGCTCGTTGTCTGTTTGTATTTTCTAACACTTATTCTAGAGGTATTTAGAGTGTCGGGTCGAGGATCTTACTGGGTTATATTTATGTATAACTCACTCCTTACTTGCATGTCCATGCAAATATTATTAGTGAAGACGGAGCTAGTAACTGACGAGTTCGCTAGAGTTGATTCAGTTATTGAGGTGAGCCGCCGCATTGTTCGTGGAGGCTTCCAACAAAGTCTTTATCATTTATTCATACGATGTCTTTTGTAATTTTCTTAGATGCTCCATGGTCTAGTGTGGGATTCGGGCTAGAGTTTCAATATAATATTTCGAGATATTTATTGTTCATAATTAATTATCAGATTATTTGGATACTCATTTAATTAATCAAATGCTGCAAATTAATGGCTAAGGTAAGAAAGTATGGTTCGCCTCGGCGGGTGGTGTTAGCTAGGTGTCCGTCACATCTAGGGGGTAGTTTGAGACGTGACAAGTAGACCATTACGCCTCTCCTCTCTTTCTTATCTTCACCGGTGACCTCCCCATTTACCTCCCGTCATTAATTCCACCCTTTTTTTTAATCTAGTTCTTCTCATTCTCTTTCAAATTTTTGTTATCTCGTTTTCTTATTCTCCCGTATATAGTGAATGGTCTGAGTAAAGAAAAGTTATGAGTTTTGAACCTAAGCCAGGAGAGAGACAGCACCTTGGAGTTTTCCGGCCAGATTCAATCTCAAGGTGTGTAGTTTTACTTATTTCTTATGATTTGGGACTTTTTAGCAAAGAGATGTGGATATATGGTTGGTCGCCGGCGAACTGAAGGTGGCAGCCATTTGAGTTTTCTGGTGGTCAAAAATTCAATCCCTAATTGAATTTAACAGAAATAATAAGAGAAGTAGGAAATGGGGAGAAATTCAAAAATAGCCAAATTTACAAGTGGTCATTCAAAAATAGCCACACTTTTAAAAGTAATCGAAATTTAGCCACTTTTCATGTAAAGATAAATTTGAACGAAAACACTGTTCAAAATCCGGAAAATACTCCAGTATATTATACTGGAATTCCAGCATAAGTATACTAGAACTCCAACATAATATAATGGAGTTCCAGCATAAATATACTAGAACTCCAACATAATATACTAGAGTTCCAACAAAGTATACCAATCCAGTATAATATAATGGAAGTTCATACACAGGTGCTCGAGTCTCCAGTATATTATGCTGAAACTTTCCGCGTGTTGGAGTTCCAGCATAATATGCTGGAAGTTGATATACATGAGCACCGAACTCCATTATATTATGCTGGACCGGTCTCTGTTGCAGCAAAATAGTGACTATTTTTCATTGACTTGGCAATCGCTGACTATTTTTGAATGACCAATCCGAAAACTGGCCAGCCTGTGCTATTTTTACTAGGAAATGGGATGAAAGAAGCCGACTAATTTCTTGGATTTGGAATTTGGTCGGAGGCTTTTTCGTATCTTCTTTTACTGGTTTGTTGTGGGTTTTGGGTTTATTGGGGGGGGGGGGGAGGTGTTTGAGTGGAGAAGAAAGGTAAAAAATAAAATGAAATTTTGATAAATTAATTTAAAAATTGGGACCCACAAATAACACATGTCAAGTAATAAATCGTCTAGTATATAACGTGTTTGACATATCAGCGCAATTGATATATACGCTCGGTTAGATATGTTTATTAGTATTCAGTCCAGTGAAGTGTTTAAATGAAAAAATTATAAATTTGTTTCTCGGGTTAAAAAATGGGTGCCATGAGGGGAATAACCATCTCTTGGATCGGTATTCCTTGTGGTGGTATACTTCAATGGCTTGATCTACCTGAAATAGCATCAGCGATTAACTCTTACATGCAATTTGTTAATAAAAAAAAAAGACTCTTAAAATTTAAGATATTAAACATATCATGATATCTTTATTGACTATAAAAATATTATTCTTTTTTGATGAACCAATAAAAAATATTGTTATGTAAAATAAAACTTAGGGAATATATTGTGGGTTTCCTATGAATATAAGAATATATTATTAAGAGTAAAATTAAAATTAAAAATAAAAAAAAAAGGATTATCAGGAAATAGTGTTATGTAGAATGTAATTGATGGAATTAATTTTTTTTTCTTACAAATTCTTCGCATCAAACACAGAACAATTGTGAAATAAGGACTGAGAGGACCGAGGGACTACTCAACTGCTGGGCCAATTTAGGAGTCAATTACTCGTATGGTCACTCAACTTTGTCAAATTATCTTTTAAAGTCACTTTTCTTTTGTTTGTAACAATAAAGTCACTGAACTATGCCTATTGCACTCAAAAGATCACTCAACTAGATTTTTCAAATTTTGAATTGCCAAATACCTACTTTACCCTCTAAATTATAAATATTTATCTTTTTTTTGTTTTTTTAACTTTTTAATATTATGATTTTTTATTTTTAATTTATATTATGGACTTACCTATAGAATAAATAAATATTATTTATATATTAAAAAAATNCAATTAACTTTTTTTTTACTAAGCTCGTTATTTTGTTATTCCACCATTATACATGCTTAAATACTTTTTATTTTTTTAATTTATAAATAATATTTATTTATTCTATAGATAAGTCCATAATATAAATTAAAAAGAGAAAATCATAATATTAAAAAGTTTAAAAAAATAAAAAGAAGATAAATGTTTATAATTTAGAGGGTAAAATAGGTATTTGGCAATCCAAAATTTGAAAAATCTAGTTGAGTGACCTTCTGAGTGCAATAAGCATAGTTCAATGATTTTGTTATTACAAACGAAAGTAAAGTGACTTTAGGAGATAATTTGGGATAGTTGAGTGACCATTTGAGTAATGAACTCGCCAATTTAGTCATCATATCAAAATGACAGTGGAAAATGCGGCGACACCAATATTTTAGTCAATCGGTATTACACGTGTCAACAAGAATTCCGACTTTAATGACTCCTCTTCTAAACTAACTCCTCGTTTTCTCCTGTGGTATCGTCAATCATCGTCATGTTCATTCAAGATAGATACGCTTTTAATATTTTTTCCTCATCTTCTATGTGCCTAGGTATTTATTTAAATTGGACTTTTTAGTATTCGACTTGTTCTCGAAATGGATCAATTGGATCCATTTCGAGATGACAATTGGGACCTAATCGATATTAACAGTTTTTTAGATGAACCTCCTTTTGATTTCTACTGGAACGATCATACGCTGAACCAGAGGTATTTTGATTTATGCCCTTAATCATTAACTGAACCGTGTTAATTAGGTATTTTTGAGAAGTAAAGTTGTCTAGGATACTGTACAGAGTGCTTTCACTGTCGTTTTGGTTTTATTTGAACTGCGGAAATTGTTGTCTTTTGTTAGGGAAGGCCTGAATTAGTTCTGTACATTCATTATTTTCACTATTAAAAGCTTCTATGTCTGTTTTCTACCAAATTATTGGCGTTTGCTTAAATTTTTTGAGAAAGTGTTTCAACCATAAAAAAAAAAAAACTTTTTTGCAAAAACTATTATTCAGTGAAAAGGTTTTTGCAGCCAAAAAAAAAAAAAAAAAGAGCCAAACCAAGGTATTCAGATTTTGAAACAAAGGCATATCCGATAGAGATATATCCTTTTGAGTTTCCTTATTTGTTGCTTATATCAACGAAAAAAGGCTTTCCTTATATTGTTGATCGTTGGTTGCAGGAATGTCACTGAACTTGATGTATCACTTCCTGGTTCTATATTTCAGGAGAAGGAATATGTAGAAACAGAATGCCGTCGGAAGAGGTATTTATTAAACTTATCTGACTGCAGTATTTCTTGTTTCTTTCTATTTACCTTCTTTTGTTCTTGAGATGGTCAAGCTTTGGTGTGATGATCTTGAGGGAGTAACTTCAGAGTAAAATAGTAAAGTTGATGTAATGTATTGATAGTCATGTACGATAGTGTGGTCTAATTTGATAGAATTTCTCCGTATTTTACCCTGAATATTACTCCTTATATATGAGCACTGCATGTAAAGGAACTTTATCTCTTGTTTATGCTTAGTATTTCTTCTCCACAAAGTGGATGTTAGTTGACCTGCAAAAGATTTTAACATAAATGTGTAAATGAGACAGGGTTCACTTGGCTAAGACTTCTATAATCTATCGCTATTTTACTTAGTGACGTTGACAAAGGCAATCATCTTATCATAATCATTTACATTATCTGCATTATTTGGTTCTTAAACAGGGCTCGTAACAATTCATGCAGCAAAAGGAGAGTAAAGCTTGCCGATAGAGACTAAGAAGAGAAAAATTGAATGACAGGTACCGCCATGCTTAGATGATTATTATTTTAACGTTTCTTCAAAGATGGTTTCTTTTATAGATTGCCTCTGCACATTGATACCACACATTATAAAGCAGGAATATAGTCTATTGACAAATTTTGGGTAGATAATTACTTTTAGGGGGTTTGCCAATCTTGATGCCTCACACCCTCTTTTACATGTGGCTGACGGAGTGCAAAAGAAACCATTTCTTTTTTTAATAGGTTATACCTGTGGATGTGAAATGTATAGGGAACTTCTCTTGGCATATCAATTACTTGCTGATTAGTTTCAGAGTGTGTTATTTTTATTAGTTTTAGAATGAGTTTCAACTCAAGTGAACCATTTTAGCGTTTAATTAGATTTATTTGAATCTCGACTATGCTTCATGTAGGTTCTCAGAGCTATGCTCCGTGCTGGAACCTGGGAGACCTGTGAAAACAGACAAAATTGACATACTTGACGACGCCATTCGAATGCTAAACCAACTGAAGACTGAATCTGAGGAATACCAAGAGATGAACCAAAAGCTTTTGGAAGAGATCAGACCTCTAAAGGTTAGATATGATGTTTTCTATGTTAGTGATGCTAAGATGTTAAAACTAGGTTAATTTAGCTGGTATAGTTTGCCACTTATATTCTTGCTAGTAACTCTGGACACCCCTAATCTATCTTATAAGAACTAGAAATGCATCCTTAACACTTAAATTCTTATCTGCGGTAGATAGTGCATTGTACGCATATCTTTATTTCGCTCATGAACAGGCAGAGAAGAATGAACTCCGGGAAGAGAAACTCTCGCTGAAGGCAGACAAGGGGAGGATGGAGCAGCAGTTGAAAGCTTTAATTGCTTCCCCGCCGAGTTTTATCCCAACCCATACAACAGGATATCAGATGGCGCAAAATAAAAGGGCAGTTTTCGCTAGTTATGGCTTTGTGCCAATGTGGCAGTATCTACCTCCAGCTTCCCAGGATACATCTCAAGATCATGAATTCATGCCTCCTGTTGCTTAATCTTTGGCATTTTCCCTTTCATTCTTTAAGTATGGGCAGCTTGCTAATCTTTTTTCACCTTCTTACTCCTTGTTCTATTTTCACCATTATCTTGATTTTTTTTTTTTGAGCACAAGTACATGTATGATCAAATGGTCAAACTAGATTAACATTGGCTTTTACCTTTGCCTTTACTCAACATTGGATTTTTTGTGAGCACAATTTGATCTTTGGTTTTTGTTGCTCATATTATCTTGCATGGAAGTTTTAACTGTAGAATAAAAATCAAAGTCATTGCAGATCCATTTCTATAGCTAAGTCCAGCAGAACTGTTACATTTAACTGATTGTAGGATCTGACAGTTACAGACTAACAAATCGTTTCTGCCTTGTTCAGATCCTAAAATCTGACAAAGCAGATTTGCCTCCAATCCCTGTTGCATAATAGTAGTTTCCCTATACCTCGCAGGATTATCTTCTGATAACAACTCCTTAATTGGTCCATAAACTCTCGATGATAATGAGTGACCGGTGGTGAAAAAACAGGCCACTGATACTCTTGGACCAACACGACTTGCCAGAACTCTGTGTGCAATGCTCGTGAACTTGTCATTTGATATAAGCTAGAAATTTTCCAATTTAGCACATATCATGTTCTATTCAAATATATGCAATTCATGAATACGAATAGAATAGTTCATCATAGGGTAGTTACCTGTAAAAGATCACCAACATTTACTACTAGAGCACCAGAAACAGGAGGAACATCAAACCCAGCAACTGTCATGAAGAACCTGAAGGCCTCCAATGTGATCCTGTAGCAGTACTGTAAGGAAGTCACTGTCTTCATGCTCGCTAGTTCCAAGATATACTCCAAATGATAATACTACTGTTATTTTAGGACGTGGAAATTGTTACTCCAAATGATATACTACTGTTATTTTAGGACGTGGAAAGGGAAAAGGAAAATACCTATGCATATTAGGGTTTTCTAACATAATTTATCGGTTAACAATGTATAAGTTAAACATAAATCTAAGAAAATCTCAAATATTAGTTTCTAAAACTTGCAAATAATTTTTATCTTAAAAAAACGAATGAATATTACATTAAAATGAACTTAAAAATATTTTATTCATATGCAATTTCTTAAACTGGGTCAAACTAGGTGAAGAAGAGGTGTTCAGTAGGTGCAAATCCAAACTAAGCAGAAAGATAAACATTCAATCTCCATCAGCGAGATACTTTAAAAAACCACAGTTGCAATGTTGCATACATACTGAGATATTCAGAACGCGGAATGGACGTAAGAAGCATAATTTTAGGAATAACAAGGCCACAAAGTGTAGAATACAAAACTCAATCATATGGCTTTACTCCAGCAGAACTGTTACATATAACTGATTTTAGGATCTAACTAATGGTTACTGACTAACAAATGAGTTCAGATCCTAAAGCCTAGCAGCGCAGATTTGCCTCCAAGCCCTGTTGCATTATAGTGAACTGAGAAATCCTTCACTGTAGTTTCCCTATACCTCGCGGGATTATCTTCTGATAACAACTCCTTAATTGGTCCATAAACTCTTGATGATAATGAGTGACCAGTGGTAAAGAAACAGGCTACTGATACTCTTGGACCAACCCGACTTGCTAGTACTCTGTGTGCAATGCTCTTGAACTTGTCATTTGATATGAGCTGGAAAATTTTCCATCAAAATGAAGTTAGCACAACATAATATATGTCAATTCATCAATCATTTCTTATAACCCTACTACAAATAGAATAAAAGGCAGTTAGTTGTACTAAGCTCTTGTTATGCGCGGGGTTCAGGACCACAAGGGTATATTGTACGCAGCCTTACCCTGCATTTCTGAACTTTTACCAGTTACATCAAAGCTCCCCTTCATAAATAGAGTAAACTCATATATAAAAACGCTTACCTGTAAAAGTTCACCAAAATTTACTACTAGAGCTCCAGAGAGAGGATGAACATCAACCCAGTAATTGTCATGAAGAACCTGAAGGCCTCCACTATTATCTTGTAGCAGTACTGTGAAGAAGTCACTATCTGAATGCTTGCTAGTTCCAAGTGTTAGTTCTGGCTCAGGGCATGCTGGGTAATAATGGTACAAAACAGCAAGCCCTTCTGAACACCCAGTGTCATTCAGATAGCTCGGTTTGAGGCCAAGCGCCTCTGAGAGTAATTCGAATAAAGAACAACCTAGCTTCTTTATGTGCTCCGAGTACTCAATCAGAATATCTCTGCAGGAAAAATAATGTAAGAGTACATCAAAAATTTCTTAGATATCTAAAATGCTAAATTGACAATCTCCTATACAATTTGCCGTCATAACTTTCTGTTCTACGGCATTTTCATCGTATCTTTTTTACTCTTGCTTTTCTTGAGTCGAGGGACCCCACTTGTGGGATCACACCAGGTATGTTATTGCTGATAATTAATCTCCTATAGCCTCGAGGGCAGATTTCAGTATAGAGTATTATCATGATTCCTGTATACTTGGGACTATTACGCGTTACTCTATCTCAATAGAGGTTCCAATTTTTCTGATAGAAGTATGAGAACAGAAACATATATAACAAATGATATGAGAAAAAAGGTACAAGAATTTTTGACTCAGGCAATTCATCCAGTAAAAACCTGCAAGCCTCAGGCAATTCATCAGCAGTAGGAGGGTCTGGAGCCATACTGCAGTAAGTAGTATCCCTCCAATTAGCTGATGCAGCTCCAAACAAATCAAAATTGCTATTATACACCACTCTTTTCGACGTATCGCGCGTATACCATCGTTTCTTCACCTCAGTATCTTGCTCATAAAACCTCCTAACACCATTCAACATTTCTTGTAAAACACTTTCTGGAATTCCATGATTGACCACTTGAAAGAAACCCCACACTTCACGGATTTTTTCAACTATCGCGCTACGTTTAATTGGATCTTTACTGATGCCATCTAAGTCTATAACTGGAATATTGATTTGGGATTTTTCAGGATCATTAGATGCCACAGTATATGCATCTTCTGGTGTATAGAAAATTCTTGGAACCTTTTCAACTCCTGCATCTACTAGTCCTTTAACGCCAGCTTTTGTACTATCAAAAGCTATTAATTCACTTGTCCTATCATAGATATGTTCACCTGTGACAACCATTTTCTTCTTCTGCTAGAGAAATCAAAGCTCAAATAGGAGAGATAGGAAGTACTACTACTAAATGAGGAGATTTTATTGAGTAAAGTCAAAAGTATGGGACCAATATCCAAAATTGCAAACCTCTAATATCGCAAATAGTCCACCTATAATTTTAGGTGGATTTGATGTTGATTTTTAATTATTCATTTAGACATTACGTTAAAAGATCTTTAGCGGTTAATTTATCATAATAAAAACTATTTTAAATTTTATAGTTAAATGGGAAATTGTTATACTCCAAATGGTACACTACTGTATTATTTTAGGAGGTTGACACGGAAAACGTAAATTCCTATACATACCAGGGTTCTTTCACCTGAGGTGCAAGACGTGTTTTAAACATAATTTTAAGCGTATAACAATATTTAAGTCAAACAAAAATCTAAGAAAATCTCAAATATTAGTATATAAAAATTCAAAATTGATTATTTTAAAATAATGAATGTTAAATCATAAAGCATAAAATCAAATGTTAAACCATAAAAATAAATTAAATGAACTTTAAAATATTTTACTCATATGTAACTTCTTAAATCAAATTCATTAGTTTTAATTAAATAAATATTGGATGCTGAGTAATTCTTTTTAACAGAAATAGTATTATTATTATATAAAAAAACTCATTCGAGACTTGGTCTAGGTGACGTCTTGGGAAGGAAAAAAATATCAAAAAAGACAAATAAGAATCAAATCCAAAAAATCAAAAGCAAAGAAAATTTGAACTCATCGCATGGAGAGGGAAGTAAAAGTTGACATCATTAATGAATAATCTTATGATCCTTATCTGAGAAGTCTTTTTCACTTACCAACTATATTATATAGATGTATTATATTTCCAAATTCTTAGAATTCGGTATTTGATGCAGAATTCTGAAGTTCAATCTTGGCAACTGATGTATCCTATTGGCGGATGCTATGAACGGGGCGGCTCAACAATATTGATGGCCTAAAGCCAAACCTCGCCTTAAATTGATTAAACAAAATTTAATATATTATTTTTACTTTATTTTTTGTGATGATATCGATCATCTTGTACGTATTTTGATCATTCATTCATTTACCTGCTAGTTTTCACCATAGTAGATATTTAATAATTCTATTCATTAAGACTTAGATAATATTTTTATAAGAAACATATATTAACGGTTAAGGTAATATTTCTATAAATTCTCATAATCTAATAACCACAATTTTCTACCACTAAATAGATGTCAGTATAATTTCTTGAAAACGGTTCAAATCTACCGAAGTGACAAATGTCTTAATCCACTCTTTATAAAAAATAATCAACTATAAAAGATATTACAAGAGCATTCGTTCTTTAATTATCAAAGTCGTCATCAAATTGTTTATTGTCATATATTGCATAGTCCTTATAAAACTGAGTTGTTTATTGGATAACCTCTATCACATTCCAAACAAAAAAGTATAAAATCTACATCTTTTATTAGTAATTTTATAGTATTGTATACGGTAAAATCAAGCTCATGGTACACCCTGACTTCCGATAAAATAAATGGAGCTAGAGACATGATGCCAAGGAATCGGAATAGAGGCAAGGATCTCATCGAGTCAGAGTCCGGGGGCGTGATGCCCACCCTCGAGAATATCGGGGCCATGATCCGGGATCGGTTTAAATCCCAAAAGACTTTGGAGAACGTTGTCGAGCAACCAAGCGCGACGAACAGAAGGTCGTGATATCCGCAACCGGTAGGATATCACGGCATGAATCTCGGCACGCATCGATAGAGAACCGGTGATTGGTTAACGGAAGATTTTTTTACCTTTTATATAATTGTACTTAGGGTAAAACTCCCTTACTATATAAAAGGGAGTCTAATTATTCATTGAGGACATGGTAACACATGCATACCAAGGCAATATACTATTATTTTCTTTGTTCTTATTAGTGTTCATCAGTGTTGGTCATTGTGAGTCCAGAACGGGGGTGGATATTTTATTAAGGCTAGAATCCTCCTCCTCATGTGGTTTAAATTTACTATATCTTTATTTATTTAATCTAACGCATTTACCGTTTGTATCGAGTTAATCCGCGCCTTAAAACCACTTACAAATTCAATTGTTATCAGTTTTTTAAGATACACAGTTTGGCGCTCACTGTGAGGCTAAGGATAATAGTGGCAATTTGATACAAATTTTCATAACGCACCTTATTTTACACTTGTTTTTTAAAGTGTCTTTATTTTCAGGTCAAAGTTCAAAATGTCGAACTCCCAATCTGCCCATCTAAACGTAGATGCTGAGTCCGGTTACCATGGTGAGAACAATAATATAGCACCAGGTAACGAGGTACCCCCTGTCGATCCTAACAGAGTTCTAGCCGCGAACCCGATCGACGCTAACTCACATGTAGCCATCAATGCAAATTTGCCTACCGATCCTGAGAACAACGTCCGTGGGGGAGTCCGATCAGTAGCCCAAAATATGCACGGCGGTGAAGATGATGGGATCAACTTGTGGGTGATATTTGAAATGCTATAGGCTCAACAGGCAGCGATATAGCCCGACTGCATAACCAAATCCGCTCCCCCAACAGAATTAAGCCCGAGCCGTCCTGAGAAATCACTCGCAGAAATGAATCGGTCACGGAGAGTCCAAGTGAAGCTGAATGCGGGACTAACCCCGAGATCATAAAGATGCTTGAGCTGACAACACATGTAGAAGCGGGAGAAAAGAAAATCGAAGTCAATGACAAAAAGGTGGAAACCTACAATTCTATGGTCGACCAAATCCCAGGAGCACCACCGATATTGAAGGGTCTGGATTCCAAGAAGTTTGTTCAAAACCCTTTCCTCCAAGCGCATCTCCGAAGCCAATCCCAAAGAAGTTCCGCATGCCCGAGATTCTTAAGTACAACAGAACAACTGACCTAAATGAGCATGTGACCTCATACACGTGCTCCATCAAGGGGAACGACTTGGAGGATGATAAGATCGAGTTCGTCCTGCTGAAAAAGTTCAGGGAAACTCTGTCAGAGGGAGCTATGATATGGTATCACAACTTACCCCCTAATTCTATTGATTCGTTTGTTATGTTTGCAGGCTCCTTTGTGAAAGCACACGCCGGGACTATTAAGGTTGAGACCAGGAAGTCAGACCTTTTCAAAGTGATACAGAGAGATAATGAGATGATTAGGGAATTCGTGTCCCAGTTTTAAATGGAACAGATGGACCTGCCTCCGACCACGGACAATTGGGCCGTTCAGGCCTTCACCCAAGGACTCAATACTCGAAGCTCATTGGCTTCACAGTAGTTGAAGCAAACTCTAATAGAATATCTGACTGTAACTTGGGCCGACATACATAACCAGTATCAATCAAAAATTAGGGTCGAAGATGATCAGCTTGGAGACCCTTCCAAGTCCGTTTATCCCGTCATAGCTATCGACAGCCAAGAGAGACATATATTATGAACCAAGGTCAAATAGGGATTGGTATCAACCATACAATGGAGATTGAAAAGGTAATGGGTCTGGGTGAAACCCTATGAGAAGTTAAAGGAGAAGCGATCGAGGTCAAAATAGCCGGGGACTCATGAGTAAAAGTGGTTTCAATAGGCACATCGGGCCTAAGGAAGCGCCAAAGTTATCGGAGTACAACTTCTCGTCGATGCTACTGCCATCGTATATGCCATCAGACGCATCAAAGACACCAAGTGGCCTCGACCTCTATAGTTCGATCCAGCCTAAAGGGACCTCAACCTAATGTGTAAATATCATGGCACTCACCGCCACAAAACGGAAGATTGCCGACAATTGAGAGAGTAAGTAGCCCGTTATTCAACAACGGTCCACCAAGAATTCCTGAGCGATCGAGCCAAATATCAATTCAGGAATAGGGACTCTATTAGGCAGATCGAGCAGGAGAAACCTCAGCACGTCATTAACATGATCATCGGTGGGTTCGACATCCCCTAGAGGCCGATGTTAAATCACACCAAAGTATCCATCACAAGGGAGAAATAGACTTAAGATTACGTGCTAGAAGGAACCTTATCTTTCAATAACGAGGACGCTAAAGGCATGATGGCCATAATAGGGAGAGGAATGACAAGCATCCAAGATACTCAACTGCTCTTCCTCCGGGACACACCTTCGAATCACACCATCCGTGCAAATCTTGAACAAGTACGGCTCATCCCAATAGAAATCCAAACTATCCCGCTTGACCTTCTTCCTTTGGTTAGAAGAGAGCTCACACGGGATTATACCTGTCACAAGGAAATTAGCAACATCCTCAAACCATGGCATATCATTCATTGATACCGAAAGGAGTTGTTCATCGGGAAATGAATCATTGATCTCTAGGCCATCACGAGGCCTCCCCTCCTCCTCCAAACGAGACAAGTGGTCCGCCACTTGGTTTTCACTACCCTTCCGGTCCACAATCTCAAAATCAAACTCTTGAAGTAACAAAACCCATCGCATCAGTCTAGATTTGGAATCCTTCTTCGTCATCAAGTATCGGAGTGCGACATGGTCGGTATGAATAATAACCTTAGCGCCCATGTGCTTATCTAAAGCTGAGTTGTGTAATTGCTCCAAATTGCACTTCTCAACATTTTTGGTTTTGATTTACTTCTAATTATATAAAACTACAATGCTCAATTAAACTAAAATAAGCTAAAGTTAAACTATTGCGAGTTGTTCAAATGGTTAAAAGGCACTAGGGTAGTTACATTCGCATAGGAGGTCAATTGACGGATACTTGAGTCTAAGGCATGATTGTCACATTTGGGGAGTATGATATAACCATTGCATGATTTTACTCACTCTACACCTCTCGGTAGTTCGAGTGATTTTGCCCGAATTGACTTTTTCAAGACCAATTGGGTATGCAAATTTGCATAAGCAATCAAGGTTCAAGTCAGGTATTACTATCTCAAGGTTTAACCCTTTAATTGGGGCTATCAATCTCTTGAGCACGCCTCAATTCCTTGTTGGACCAATTTCAGAGACTTAGACTCTCTTTCTCAAGAAGAGCCAAAGTCAACTAAACACAAACTAGTGTTTGCAACCACTAATTCAACAATTAAACATG